GTGAAAGGACAAGGGTTGGGAGACACATGATAAGTTCATAAGATTTCTTTTTGGTCTAACAATTTATGAAGGGAGCTGCACTTAGCTTTGAATTCAAGAAGTCAGTAAACAAGTCACAAGGGAAAAATGAAATGTTCTTTTTCAGACTTGCACACCTACCCCCGTGGAGCGTGAACCCTATACGGGAGAAGTTGTCCTCCTGAAATAGACACAGAAGACTCCACTGCTGGGACCAGGAAACAGACCTACCCCTCACTGTGTGCTGTCGGTAAGGGACGGTGGACAAGGAGAGTATTCCAGCATGACAACATCTGAAATTAGCATCTCTTTCTCCATGACCATTTGAAGAGTTCATGGTCAAGGTCAAAGGCTTCAAAGGGACATGAGACTCAAGGACAGTTTAGCCAAGGGAAGAATGATAAAAGACCTCTTGACGCAGAACACTGAGATGAGCCTCCACATTGAAGGAGGCCTTGGGCCAGCTAGAGATTTATCCTCTGAGGTGTTAGGAAGTAGTCACCGGAGCCATGGAGAATCCACTGTGAGCAAGAAGCGGTAGCTGGTGACACAGTAGACCTGTCATCGAGGAAAGTTGGCACCACTTAAAACAGGGAGGGCAATTTCCTGGTCAAAGTTTATAATTTGATTTAAGACTTTATCTGGAAAGATAAATCTTCATATTGTGAAGGCAAATATATTCTAGAACTTAAAGTGAATGAAAAATGAGTCATGTGGCTTTGGGGGGTATAATTTTTCAGGAAAATTATTTGATAGTATGTGATATATTTTATTTCACATGTAATTTTTGGAATAATATTATAGATATGGTCATTTTTTGAAAAAAAATATTTTAGTGCTTCATCAATTTTTCTCTTAATATTTTGACATCCAGAACTTTCTTTTTTAAAGTATCTTGCACATTTTCTTTCTCTCTCTCTCTCTCTCTTTTTAGTAGTTTTCTGGTCTTGCAAAGCCAAGTATCTATTTGACAGTGGCTTTGCTGTGACTTAAGCATCTCTCTAACGTATCTTCCACTGACTTCATGAAATCTACACATTTTCTCTGTTTTGCAATTTCACTAAATTGTTAAAGCTTGTGATACATTTTCAGATGTTTCAGAACAGTGCAATCTTCAAAACTCTTACATAAAAGGTTGACATGATGGATAGATGTTTGTGTTCATTAGGGACACTTTGTCAGGGGAGTAGTGTTGTACGCCCCCGGTTAGCCTGCACGTTTGCACATGATGATAGCCCATGACTTGAGCAACGCGGCTTTGTGCACTCTGGGCTGTGATCGCATTACTGAGGGTCCTGAGTCTTTCTCAATGCTATGTAGCCAAACTTTTCAGTTTTTTTTTGTCATTCCCTAACTATTGAAATTATCCTGGCAATCCAGGAAGACTGTGTCAAAAATTCGGAGGAAGATTTAGCAGGAGGAAGAAATTGCGTTGAATGCTGTGACCTGCTTTTGCAGCATTGGCAGGGGCAGGGTTAGTGTTTACTTTTATTATCGCATTTCTGGTGGGTTAGGCCTGCGCTCCGCATCTGTTTGTGAGAGGGAATGTTTCGCTGAGTTCCTTTTATTCGGTTCAAAAGCAAAGTCAGAGAAAAGGATGCTGCTGTTCCCATCACAGTTAACCGCTGTCAGCCATGGGAAGCCAGCCTCATCTCAACTCCCCGAGAGCCTTTGGAAAGAATAATCGCTCTAGGCCTCTTTGGTTTCCTTTCAGAAGCAATCACGGTGGGTCTCACTGTGACTTTGCTGCTATGTAAGATGGAAGACATAAATGAATGTTATTGTGATGGAAAGTCTGTGTGAAAATTCACTGATGATACTTCAAAACGTCATCTTGGCTTGTACCAGATTTCTTACTGTGAATTTCTAAAGATCACTTTTTTGTTGTTTGTTTAAAGTTTTTTTTCAATGGAGGCATTTGTTTAAAAGTAGCAAACTGTGATCTTACATTCTGTTGTCATTAATAAACATTTAGATCTTCATTGTATATCCTGTGGTCTGTGGTATGTGTGTCCTTTTCTAACGAGTAGCATGGGGACTCTGGGAGGTTGGTTTGTGATTCAAAAGCATCATTTCCTATGTGACATTTGCTTCAGCAACTCCTGGAAATTAGGTCCCTCAGCAAACACCATGTAATCAAACTGGATACTCAACCTTAGGATAACCCCAGGGTAAATGATCCAGTCACACTGACGAAGGCAGGATCTGAGAGAATTCGGCGGAATCAGGATGGCCTGAAGATGCCCTGTCTCCCCTCTGCTCCCTAGTCTGCACTGGGACCACCCTTCTGTGTGTGCAGAGAAGCTGAGCTATATTTCTTCTCCTAGGACCTAGGTGAACTGGTCAAGAGAGATTATTTATTTATTTTTATTTTCAAAAAATATATTTCTGATGATTTCAAAGAGGAAGGGAAAGGGAGAGACATCAATGATGAGAGAGAATCAGTGATCAGCTGCCTCCTGCACACCCCACACTGGGGATCAAGCCTGCATCCCAGGCATGTGCCCTGACCTGGAATTGACCTGTGACCTCCTGGTTTATAGGTTGATGCTCAACCTCTGAGCCACACTGGCCAAGCAAGAAGGATTTTTTAAAAATGTGGATCAGGGGAAAACTCAGGGCAATTATGCTCTCATTGCAGGCCCATCAGCACTAAGATCAGGGTGCATTGGCACATTGGACAAAGGGGACTAGGAATAGGGTAGTAGGAATCCAGCTACTCGGCTGTAATTTGTATTGAACACAGGGGAGAAAGGACAGTGAACTACACCTAAGGGAGAACCATGGCTGTTTTTTTCTCGGGGACGAAATACCTTAAAATGCTTGATTCCTTTTCTCTCTGCTTCAGTTGACAATAGAAACTCTGCAAGAAGATAACTGAATCCTCAAGAAAAAAATAAATTGCTTTCTTATTTAGAAGCCACTTCTCACTCATCCTTTAGTACTCAGCTGAAATATCACCCCCTCTCCGAGGCTTTTCCAGCTCCAACAGGACGGGGTACACCCCACTTTTATGTTCCTCCATAGCAGGGCCCAGCCACGCCCCCATCACAGCACCATCATCCCATTGCATAACCGACCTGCCTTACTGTCTCCTCCGGGGAACTGACAGCTCGTGCAGGGCAGGGCTTGTCTGGTTCACAATTATTTCCCCAGCAGGTAGCTGAGGGTCTGGCAATTGATTGGCATTCAATGGATTCTTCATTTTTAAATAGAGGAGGAGGTGGAGGAGTTCCCACTGAGCTCCTATATTGGTAGAGATGACGTGAGTAAGCATTCTCGACAAAAATGGATACAAATGTTGTGGAGCATTTTGGTGTAAGGAAGCTCTAAATCAGTGGTTCTCAACCTTCTGGCCCTTTAAATACAGTTCCTCATGTTGTGACCCAACCATCAAATTATTTTCGTTGCTACTTCATAACTGTCATGTTGCTACTGTTATGAATCGTAATGTAAATATCTGATGTGCAGGGTGGTCTTAGGCGACCCCTGTGAAAGGGTCGTTCGACCGCCAAAGGGGTCGCGACCCACAGGTTGAGAACCGCTGCTCCAAATGAAGAATACAGATTCATTATCAACGTGATAGATCTATTTGGGAGGATGAAGTAGCTATAGGATTCTGCACTAACAGAGTCATCTGAAATGATTATGCCGATCCCTTTAGTGCTTTTATTGGGCTTTGTCACAAATAATTTGCAGAAACACAGCCTAAGTAATAACATAAGGCAATAGGAGAGCATGATTTAAGCTATTAATATCTTTTTCAGGATCGCCTCTGGTATACGGAGTAAAATCTCTTTGTCACAGCACAACTGCGCTTTCCAGGCCTGGATCAAGGATAGATGGACTGAGTAGTGTTCCTTCTCCACAGTCACCTTCCATTGCCTTTTTCCTCTCATGTACTGGAGAGAAAAAAAAGTGGGGGCTCTAAAATTCTATTTATGAGCTGTGAGGCCTTGAGTAATTTTTTTTTAAAGTATTTTTTATTGATTTCAGAGAGGAAGGGAGAGGGAGAGGGAGAGAGAGATAGAAACATCATTGATTCAGAGAGAATCATCCATCATGCCCTCTCCTGGGGGTGGAGCCCACAACCCAGGCATGTGCCCTCCCGCCATCGGGGAAATGAACTTGAAGCAGTGTCAAGCCCATTCCTGGGCTTTCTCACACCCGCCAGCTCCTCTTGCCATCGGGCTCCCCGCATGACCTAGAGGGGGGTTGACTCCATCAACCCAGTGTCAGTCCCAGCTCTGCACCATTTGCTTGTGTGGCTCCTGCAAGTCACAGTCTGCTCTACACCTCGTGTCTGTGAGGTGTGGCTGGCTCTGTAGGCAAGTGCACAAGGGCAGGGAATCTGGAATCAAATTGACTGGGTTCAAAACTTGCTTCTGTCACCACCTGTGCAATGTAGGCAAAATTCTTAAAGTCTCCCAGCCTCTAGTGTCCCACCTGTAAAATGAGAGAATAAAAACACTTACTTAGAGTTTGTGGGAGAATGAAATGGAATAAGACGTAAGCATTTAACACTGTGCTGAGTGCAAAATAAGCCCTCAATCAGCTACTGGTATTTCTTTGCACTTGACCTCTTTATTGCTCTACGCTGAGGCAGAATGAAGCCAGCTAACGCCATCTGAGGAACTTTCCATCTCCTCTGGGTCACAGTTCATGGCCATTGTTGCTCAATAGTACAATTACAAAACCGCTTGCTGGGCTGGCGTGGCTCAGTGCTTGAGCATTGACCTATGACTCAGAAGGTCACAGTTCAATTCCTGGTTAGGGCATGTGCCCAAATTGCAGGCTTGATCTCTAGTGTGGGGCATGCAGGAGGCAGCCTATCAGTGATTCTTGTTTATCATTGATATTTCTATCTCCCTCTCTGTCTCCCTTCCTCTCTGAAGTCAATATGTTACAGAAAACCGGAGAAGAACCAAGCAACGCTTAGAGAGATGGAGTTACATTTATTATTATCACACGCACGGGCCCAGAGGAAAATGTCCCTCAAATTCTGGGCCCCATCACACAGTAAGTTTCTTGTATTTATACCTTTTTACCTTCTTTGTCTCCCAAATATGGGGTTTTTCCGGTTCCCTTTGCAAGTTCTTAAAGGGCCCTATGTGCTGGGGCTTTGAGATCTCAACCAAAGGCTTGGCCTGGTGCCAGCACTGATAACTTCGTCTGGGGAAGATTTAATGGCCTCTTTGATATGGGAGTAGTATTATTTTCCTTATTATTTAAGCCAGCAAGCATTTACAGAAGCCAGAAATAGCAGGGTTAAAATTTCAAACAGCAGTTTTTATATAAGATGGTGCTTCAGATAAAATATATCTAAAAAAACAAAAACCAACAAACCACAAAAACCAACCTCAGTAGGAAGACGTTCAGGCAGGTCTTTTATTCAAGCAGGGAAGACGAGGAACAGGAATAGGGAAGTCATCAAGACCACACTCAACAGTGACAGGAAGGGCAGAGGGGAGCACCAGCCTCGGGGCCTGTGGGCCAAAGCTCTGCTCTTCAACCTGAGCTATAAAACAGGAGAGAGTGCATCCAGCCCTCTAGCTGCAGAAAGCTTCGGTGTCTTTGGTGATGTGTGCCGGGCCCTGAGCTAGATGTAGAGGGGGGTTGATATGGGGGAATCTGGCCATGGAGGGCCCGCTCAAAGTCCCTAGGACTAGACCGCCGAGGAAACCAGGGGGTCCAGGGCAGTGTGGCGAGGACTGTGGCAGGGGCTGGGTGCTTTGGAGCAGAGAGGGAAGATGTCAGTCAAAGGTCCTCCTGAATCCCCTCCCTCTTCTGGATCTTCTTCGCCCACCTCTCTTCCTCTGCCCTCCCTCCTGAAGTTTCCTCCAGCTCGACAACTCTTGCGTCATGTTGCAGTTTTACTCAGACCCACACCCAGGAAAACACTCGCATTTGTCACAGTGATTATTTTGCACACGCTGGGGTCGTCTTCTCCATAGCATCTCCTCATTGCCAAAACCCAGATCTTTTGCTTTCTTTTTTATCCCTCGTCGCAACCTTGATGGACACATTGACCACTGTTCCCAAGCGTCCAACACAGTACCGGGCACGTAGTCGGAGGTGAGAAAAGCTTGTTGGATAAACACATGTCAACAATGAATCATAATGAAACAACTGGTGTCATTAACAGAGACCTCTTAAGAATAGACTCAATCCTTCCCTTTCGGAGAGTGAGGGTCCTTTTAGATTTTGTTGTGCTTTGGGGATGAAAAGAAGGTATGTGGGGGGGGGGGGCACATGGCCATAAATCAATGGTAAGTATTACAGTGCCCCCTGTTTCCATGTCTATTCCAAGCCTCAACGCAATTCTTGACTTTCACAGTCTGTCATCTGAGCTTCTAAGGCATATAGTACATAGTTCTGATAACTATGGGTCATGAGTATTCTAGGAAAGTTTGGAGTTCTAATCTCCCATCGCACTGTCCCCATTAGAGCCCTTGACAGAGCCTCTGACAGGGTTGAGTTTGAGCAAATAAAGTCATCCTTCACGCACCCCTGTTATTGCCCCTGCCAGGTGCCAGTCTCACTACCTGGGCTCCGAATTCCTCCACCCAGATACCATGTCTTATTCATCCTTATATCTCCAGCGCCTCACATGAGGCCAGGCACAGAGCAGGCACAGCTGTGGGGGACAGTTTGCGGGTCCTCAATAAGTTAATGGAATCGTCATAGGACCTGCCAGTTCTATTCCTAGGCCATGCAATTGACAATAGGTGTTTACAAATGCTTATAATAGCGTGACTCATAATAGCAAAAATATGGAAGCAAGCCAAATGTTAAGTAAAGGCAGCCAGACACAAAAACCGCATATCGTGTGATTCCATTTAGAGGAAATATTCAGAGCAAGTAAATCCATAGAGACAAAAAGCAGATTAGTGGTGGCCAGGGGTTGGGGCAAGGGAGGAAAAGAGGGTGCCTGCTTTGGGGGATGATAAAAATGTTGGGAAATTAGAGAGTGGTGACAGTTGCACAGCAACACTGTGAATGTATGAAAAGCCACTTTAAAATGGTTACACCGCTAAATTTTAAAATACACAGTTGCATGTGTATTTTACCACAATAAAAACTTTTTTTTAAAAAAAAAAGGGTAGGCACATATAACCATTTTCAAATAAGTTGGTTAATGTGAGGGACTTGGGAGCTGGGGTGGTTGGAAAATTTGAAGGGAAGGTGGAGAGAGCGGAGTTGCAAAGCAACGGTCTCCCAGTGCAATGCCTCACTCTAAGGGGCCCAGCCCCTCCACTCTCCTCCCAGCGCTGAAAAACCAAGTCCTTCCGATGAGCAGAGACGGACTGAGAAATGCTTACAGATTATGACTCAGCAATAGTCACTGTGAAAAAGTGCTGGCTGGTAATGGAACCAGTTTCGTTATCCTGAGTTGTTCTAACAGATTTCCCCCCACCCCATGCTCCCTCTTTACTGCCTCTGGAGTCACCCACTTTCCCATCTGCCCACTCCTCCCACGGAAACCCTGGGGCCTGGGAACCCCCTGGGCCTGGGAACCTCCGGGAAGTGACTTTGCTCAGGGTCATGGGACAAGACCACAGAGTTAGATGTGCGCTGAATAAGCTCCTGAGATCCTGCCCAAGGGCTTGTCCTCTGTTCCTTTCCAGCTGTGTGACCTTGGGCCAGTCACTCAACCTCTCTGAGCTGCAGTTTCCTCACCTGGAAGTGATAACATTCACAGTCTGGTCGCAGGGCTATTTCGAGGCACACCCGAGATCAGTCGCTGACATTGGTGTGCAGCCTGTCCGATGCCAGACACAGGTAAGAGCCAGCTCATCGTCAGAGCGGATCAAAGGGCCATTCTCCAGCCAGGAGGCCAGAGGCCAGAGGCTTAACCACTCTAAACCTCGGGCGCCTCCTGGGTAAATGGGGACCATAGCACTGTCATCAGAAGCTTGTGGTGAAGTTCCGATGAGGGGGCGCACGGCAAGCAGCCAGCACAGAGCTGGAAGGAGGGAGCCGTAGGTAAATGACAAGTTTTACAGCCAGCTCCATTTCCCTGTGTCACTGCCGGCCCTGGGGAAGGGACTGTGGGAAGAACGCCTCCCACACATCCCGGTTCCTGCCCGTCCCTGTCCTATTGAGCAAGATTCCAGCTGGGCCTGTTGCAGACTCAGGCTCGGTGACTGCGCCCCCCGCCAAGCTGAGCACCCCAGGCTGCAGATTGAGGGCCCAGGGGGGGGGGGGGGGCAGGCAGCCCCACCAGCCCGCTGCCCTGGTCCCAGGCCTGGAGCTCGCTAGGCTCCTTTTGGCACCGCAGCCAGACAGCCTGAGAGTTATGTGTCCTCCATCTCCCATCCCTGCTCCAAGCTCTGAGTTCGTAAGTGGTTCGCAATACTCAGAGCGACAGTAGTTCTCAACCTTCTGGCCCTTTAAATACAGTCCCTCATGTTGTGACCCAACCATCAAATTATTTTCGTTGCTACTTCATAACTGTCATGTTGCTGCTGTTATGAATCATCATGTAAATATCTGATATGCAGGATGGTCTTAGGTGACCCCTGTGAAAGGGTCGTTCGACCACCAAAGGGGTTGTGACCCACAGGTTGAGAACCACTGCTTTACACCCTATGGCCAACTCACTGTAAAGAATTCTCCAGTCCTTCTAGCAACAAGATGGCTTGCTTTCCCCATTCTGAAGCACGCACCCGCCCATCAATACTTACTGGCCCTGCTCAGGTCTGCTGGGAGGGGAGGGGTGTGCAGGGAGAAGGTACTAGGCTTCTGCGGACTCCGTGTGTGGGTCTATGCAGGAAGTGCTGGGATTTCAGGAGGTCCTCAATGAAAGCTTTTTCTGGTTGTGGTTGTTTGGTTCTTTCCTTTCTTTCTTTTTAATTTTTTTTTTTTTTTTTTTTTTTTGGTAGGTAATGAAGGGAAAATGGAGCCTCTTGAATCTTAACTGAAGGATCCTAGAACCTACCATTATGCCCCTGGATCTACTGGGAAAGGGGGAAATGAAAGTCTTTGAAGGCCACTGGCTTTACAGGAGAAAGGAAGCCCCGCAGAGCAGGAGTGAGGCATGGTGTGGGCAAAGGTCAAAGCCCCAAAGGCAGCGCCTCCTGCACCACAGGGCACAGGACGCGGCAGGGAGCCCCGAGCCTGGCGTGAAAAGAGGGCCTCCATCGCTTCTCCCAGGCTGTGTGGCCTGCGGAAAGTCCCACGGCCTCTCTGATCCTCAGTTTCTTGATCCGTGAAATGAAAACGGTAATACCCACCCTGTTTACTCTACTGCGTTGTCAAAAGAACCACATGGAGTTTGTGAACAACCAAACAATGTGCACGTAACGAGTAGAATATGATTATGTCAGTGACGTGCTCAAAACGTTGGTTACTCTGGAAAGTTAATTTGCAGTAGGAAATTCAGAGTGAAAGAAAGTATAAAGGCCATCGGAGATTTAAAAATAGATTGATGAGATCATGATAATAGCAGAAGGGTACTTTTGGGGGGAGGGTGCCAAGAAACAGAGGGAAGAGCTGGGACCTCAACAAGTGGGACCTCAACAAGGATCCTGGATTTGATTCCTGTCAAGGGCATGTACCTTGGCTCGGGGCGGGGGGAGCCGTCAGGGCCCCGTGGAGGAAGCTGGGGTTTGCTCACTGATGTGCTGAGTAATGGGGTTGGGGAACAGTCCATGATGTGAGTGTTTTCTGTGAGTCATTGTACCATCCATACTGAAGGTCACATGCAAAAGCCAGAGCCAGGAACAGGCATGCCAGCCGAGGCTAGGACTGTGTCCAAGAACCCGTGGAGAAGATGCGCTGGCCCAGGAGGGTGTGAAATGAGTTGGACACTCCAGGCAAGTTCAGAGAAAGCCCAGAGAGAGGCCAGGGAGGAGGTCAGAAGGAACACTCAGCTGTCTGGGCAGAGGAGACTGCCAGCGAGCGTAAGGACCCGCCCCGAGGATGGGGTTGGAGGCCAAAAAGAGCAAGAAGTTTGGAAGGAACTGAAATCCATGGCAGGGCGGTGAGGATGCTACTCAGGATGCTACTCAGCCCTGAAGGGAGCCTGCCAGGCCCCTGGCATAGGGTCAGAGCTGCAGGGCAAAGGGAGTATTGATTCCCAGGAGTGAGACACCTGGATTGTGTCTTGGTCCTGCTCCCCCAGAGAGCAGGTAGGGACCGCAGGCTCCGTGTGACCTGGAGCTATGTCTCATTCCTCTCTGTAGCCTTACTGCCCCGCACAGAGCCTGGTGTTCAGAGGGCACTCAGTCAGTGTACCTTGGAATGAACCAACAAATGGATGGCAAATGGATACGGCCACGTTTAAAATACCAACATGTTTTGAACTTTCTCTTTTTGGTGACTCTTGGCAGACTTTGGCCTTCTTTCTAGTGCCAGATAGCTCATGTGGACAGCACCTCATTGTCCCTCCTGAGACCCCCTGGCCATTGACCACATCTCGGGTCTCCGTCCCTTCTCGTTCTATTGTGTATGTTCTCGAGATGACTGTGCTCCATTTAGTGGCTTGTTTCCATGACAACCTGTTCCTTCATACTGTCTAGTTCCCAGGCATTACCTACTGTACCTTATTCAGTTCCCAGCCTTGCTTACATCCTGTCCTGATGCAGAATGTCTTCCATTAAGGGAACATCATCTTCTCAGAAATTAACTTTAAAAATGTCATTAAACAGATTATGGCATGTTGGGTGTGTTTTTTCAACTAGAAGTAAAAAATTTCTCCACCACTTCCTTGCCAAGAAACACATTTCCTTGTCAGCTGTTTTCATCGACTCTTTTCAAAACTTTTTGTCTCCACATGTATTGAAAGCCAGCCTTTAGGAGAAGCATTTGGCTCCCAACATAATTTGGCTCTCAAACTTTCACCCACTCCCCTGGACTCCACCCCCTGCTGGCCACTGCCACGATCACAGTGCCGCAGTCTCACCTTCCATACTGAAGATCTGAACCATCTCCAAAAAGATCAGTGACACACGACTCACTTCTATTTTACTGTCAGTTTTGTTAGTCTGGTCCAAATGTGCTGTTAGGGCTCCCAACGTGGTTTTCATCACATTACTGAAGAAGGATCCATCTGACCCATCCTTGGAACTCACCTTGCTCAACTCCTTGGGTGCGTCTTGACCACGGTCTCTTCCTCGGCAATAAAACCTGTGGGACTTTTAGGAAAGTACTCAGAAGGGTCCAGCGAATGCCGGTTGAGGGTCATCTCATCTTTCTTCTCAAGATGGACATTCACATCAGCTGCCAGAACTCTGTCACGCCCCTTGTGGCCAGCTGTGGATAGGCTTGTCCTTGGTCCAGCAACCAGACCTGTCCATCACTTGAGGCCGTTCACCACCGACCACCCCTGCCTTCCAGTGCAGCATCACATTGGTCCAGGCATTTGGTATCTCTCACTTATAAGGCCTCTCATGACTCAATTCAGTGTACTGCGGAGGTGTCCTGGCTAGATCCGTCCCTCAGTGCTCAGAGAGCTTCTACATAGCGACCATTTATTGTGGCTGAGGTGTAACGCCAAGTTCCTTAGAACAGCTTCCCTCTGACTGTGCATCAAAAATCCAATTTTGATTTCTCCTGCCCTTTTCATGCCTGCATTTAGAGCTAATGTGCACCGAAGGATATGGAAAGCTCATCCTATCTGTGCAGCTATACCATGACTAAAAAATATTTTCTAAAGAGTTAGTCTGCCTCTAGCCGGTTTGGCTCAGTGGATAGAGCGTCAGCCTACAGATCAAAGGGTCCTGGGTTTGATTCCGGTCAAGGGCATGTACCTTGGCTCCAGGCTCCTCGCCACCCTGGGCCTTGGTCAGGGCTCATGCAGGAGGCAACCGTTCGATGTATTTCTCTCACATCAAAGTTTCTCTCTGTCTTTCCCTCTCTCTCCCACTCTCCCTAAAAAACGAATGGAAAAATAGTCTTGGGTGAGGATTAACCAAAAAAAAAAAAGAGCTAGTCTGCATACTGTACATGGGGGAATTCGTGTGGGGGAAAGTCTTTGCTGGCCGTTCACTATACTGGGTTGAATTGTTTCCCTCCAAAATTATGTTCAAGCCCTAGTCCTCAGTACCAGCAAAGGCGATCTTATTTGGAAAGAGGGTCGTTGCAAGTATAATTAAGTCAAGATGAGGTCCTACTGGATTGGAGTGGGCCTAATCCAACCACTGCTGTTCTTACACGAAGAGAGAATATTGACACAGGAGAACAGAGCCTGGCATGTGAGGACAAAGGCAGAAGTTGGAGTTATGTTGCCAGAAGCCACAGAAAGCAAAGGCTCGCCAGCCAGCACCAGAAGGGAGAAGAGACAAGGAAGGGTTCTGCCCTAGAGACTTTGGAAGGGTCCCAGCCCTCCGGACACCTTGAATGCCGCTTCTAACCTTTACAGCCAAAGAACTTTGAGGCCCTGAGAGGAGAAGCTATGTAACCACCGTCCCAGGGCTAGCAAAGGGCAGAGCCAAACTCAGAATCCTGTGCTCTTTCCAAATGAGAAATCAAGAACTGGAAAAGTGGGAGGGCTTAGATCTAAGGAGGTAGGTTTTGTAGAACCCCACTCCATAGCTGGGAACACACACGTTTCCCAAAGGAGGATGTATGGGGATCAGGATTCAACCTCTACTCTAGTTTTCAAAATTAATATTTGAATTCATCCTGAATATTTAAAGATTGGGCACGTTCCTATAAACACCTAGGTGCCTGGCTATTTCAGGAAAAGTGAGCTGATCTGTGAGAAAGTGAATAAAAGCTGCCCCCATTTCACACTCAGGCTGTGTAGCCCCATCTACCTGGCCAGCTGCACAATTTATATGACCTACACGCCACCGTGGGCCCTGGCGTTTGCAACCCCGGGGAGCGGGGAAGAAGGGTAGAGGCCCTGAGCCTGGGGGTGAGAGTTGTAACGTCAGGGGGTGAAGAAGCCAATCAAGGAACCCCGAGACAAGCAGGGCCGGGGAGCCCAGGACAGGGTTTCCATCTGTTTGCAGGTGAAGTGGCAGGATATGGAAACCGGAAAACAAAAAAAAGGGAAGGTGGGGGAGGGGGTTCAACGCTCCAGTACTGCACAGTGGTGATGACTTAGGCAAAACATCTTCTTTCCTATTTTTAACTGGAGCACAGAAGCTGCGTCAGAGGACGGGCTGCTGACTCACCCAGCTGAGGCGCCTTTCTCTGAATTGCACAAATGCCATCGACACCGGCTGCAGAGCTTCGGAGAAGCAAAGACAGCGACGCCTGCGCACGGGGCAGTAATAGAGCGCTCTGAGTGGGAGCTCCGTGTTCTGGGCCACGGCTTTCTGGAAGCTGTCTAGGATCTCATGGTTGAATGATGCAGATGCTCAGAGGGAAATCATTTATCTGTTTGAGCTGAATTAGTAACCCCGTGACACTGTTGCCTTCTAAAGTTTAGCGAGGACTGGTTTCCAGTGTGATGACATGGAGAATCGAGACAATTTTCAGCAAGACTATTTTCTAGTTGTATGCATATCCCCGCACCACGAGTAGACAGATCCAAGAACAAAGGGTTCTGAATGCTTTATGGGCAAGAAGCACGTTGTGACAATGGCGGGACTTGAGTGTCAGCAGAGACCACGGCAGCCCTCCCCACATTGCTAGAGGGAAATGGAGCGGTTGTGGTTGCATGTGGCCCTGCTCCAGCCCCCGGGGTCTCACCGTTTCAATGCGCCCCTGATTGCCAGCTGCCAGCCGCTGCATCTCTTTGCCTGGGGACGTTTTCAGAACCGAGGAAAGCCAGATGTGCCAGGGAATGAACACCACCCAGGGGCAGCAGCAGCCCCCCATCAGCAACTGGCAGGAGTTGCTGTGTAAATACCCCAGCCCCCACCCTAGGCATGGGTTCCACAGTGGGTGAGCAGAGAGCAGGCTGCTGGCTTTGGTAGGCAACTATCTCCTTGCAAGTTAATGATATAATAATGTTGTTTTCAGTGTGTGTCACATAGTTTACATATCTATATAAAAGGTATGTACTGTCTACATAATACTATATGTGTATATGTATGCATACTAAATAATGTAAATGTGATGTGTATGTTTATGTATGTATATTACTTTCTATTTATGAAAAATGATACGGTTTTTCCATTTACAATGATGTTATAAAGTTGCCTTTTAGAATGGACTTGTTTAGTAAAAATGCTGAGTCAATTACAAGAACATATGGGTAAATGGTAGAGTGCCGGGGTCCAACCCCAGCAGGTCCAGGGGTCCCCAAAGGTGTGGACGGAGTCGGCGAAGAAGGAAAGACTCGGAGACAGTGTTCAGTTGATCAGCAGCCTAGCCAGGATCTCTAGCCAAGTTCTGTTCAGGATCTGCAGCGAAGTTCTGTGTCCATGTTCTCTTGCTAGGTTCTCCAGCCAAGTTCTGGTCTGGATCTCCAGTGAAGTTCTGGCTAGGATCTCCAGCCAGGTTCTGTGTCCATGTTCTCTTGCTAGGTTCTCCAGGTTCTCCAGCCAGGTTCTGTAGCCATGTTCCCTCGCTAGGTTCTCCAGCCAGGTTCAGTCACCAGGTTCTAGTCAGTTTCTCTTGCCAATTTCTGTAGTCAGGTTCAGTCCAGGATCTTTTGCCATGTTCTCTCCAGCGAAGTTCTTCTGTCTGTAGGTTCTGTGTAGGTTCTGTCTTCTTAGTTCTGTGTTCTAAGCTCTGTATTCTAAGTTCTGAGTCTTGCTGTCTTGTTACATCTGTATTTATACCAGTTGATTCAATCCTATCAATCTCTATTACAAAGGTTAGGGCGTTTCTTATTTCCATTCCAGGGAGTAAAGATTATGTAGCTTAAGCATGATTGTTCGTAGTTAAAGTGATTAATTACCCGCCTGGCACTTAGTTAAGAGGTTTTATTCCCTCCCTAAAACTTCAGGGGAAAATCCCTACCTGGGGAAACAACCTTTCTCAGAGACCTTGGTTAAAACACATAGTGCCAAGAAGGTGAGCAAACATATTAAAAACAGTATGCCATATATGCCAGGTCCCTTGAAACAGCAAGCATGGACCGGCTCCCGGCAGTAGAGCATGACCTATGCCAAGATGGTAAGAAATCGTGGCGCTCTGCAGGAATGACTTGCGTGGCTCCTGCTTTGTTTTGCAGAACCTCAGGTGCCCCAGGAACTTCCCAGGTGGACAAGAGGAAGGAAGGCAGGCTTTAGGGCCCCCACCTGTCTCAAACAGGGCAGCTGTGTCTTTACTGGATGGGAATAGGTGATGTAAAGAGTGAATTGGCCCGGCCGATGTGGCTCAGTGGTTGAGCAATGACCTATGAACCAGGAGGTCAGTGTTCAATTCCCAGTCAGGGCACATGCCAGGGTTGCGGGCTCGGTTCCTAGTAGGGGGCATGCAGGAGGCACAATGGATGATTCTCTGTCATCATTGATGTTTCTTTCTCTCTCTCCCTCTTCTTTCCTCTCTGAAATCAATAAAAATATATATTAAAGAGTGGATTGGAGGAAGGGGGTCTACAGCTAAAAAGAATAATAGATAACCAGTTTGAAAAATTCAAATGGGGTCCAACAGTCAATTGATCAAAAAATGGAGGCCCAGGGAGTTTAAATGACATCTCCCAGTTCCCACTCAGAGGTTGTGAGAGAGCCAGGACACAGCCCCATTTACAAGACTCTTGGCCATGCAGGACTTGGTGAGGCCTTGAAGGATGGGAGGGAGTGGGTGGGAGGAAGTGGACAGGGAAAGAAGATGAGAAGTGCTTTACGATTGGGCAGGGTCAGGAGAGCAAAAGTGTGAAGTGGAATGCAGATGACTCTCCTGGGGGTCAGGTGGAGAGGAAAAGAGAGGAATTAGGTGCGGAAATAGATGGGAGGGGAGCGGGGAATGTGACTTCACCAGGATGTGTGGGTCCAGATCTCTGAGCTGGGAAATGACACGTGAACACCTCGCTCTGGGAGGCAGCATAATAGAGAGTAACTTTGTTCAAATGTGCTCCCAGAACACACTGTGCACATGTTACTTTTCCTGTTGGTGCCTCAGTTTCTTCATCTTATAACAGCAATAACATCAGAACTCCCTTCGTGAGGTTTTGGTAAAGATTAATGGAAATAATACACCAAAAACAGTGTCGGGTACCCAGTAAGGGCTCAATACATATGTAACAGCTATTAAGATGTTTTCTATGAAGGACTGAATTGTGTTGAGAGAAGGAAGTGCCTCGGCTTAGCTAGTTAGTAGCAGAGCCAGAATTAGATGTCCGTTCTTCTCGGTCCTAATTCAACACTCTTTTCTTTCATTGCACCACGTTTGAAAACAATGCATTCTTGTTTTCTTGTTTGTATGATTAGCATTTCCACCTGCAAGTCATAGCATGCTTCTCTCAGGGCAGACATACCCCCACCGTGGTTTCCTGTGGGAAAAACAATTTGGATCTATTTCTTTCCCTCCCTAATTAATATGTCACATTTAGAGTGAGTACGCCGCTCACTTTGAGAAGGCAAGACTTTTCCATTTTCAGAGCTTCAGCCTCTGACACCGCAGCCTGACTTTTAACAGTATGAAATTACCTGTGACCATAGAATTTAATAAGGATTCTGATTGTTTTTGTGTCTGTAGAGAAAATAACATTTATTTTGATGAAAATGTTATCTTTTCCTTTTTTCATCTAATAAATCATTCTTATGTCCCAAGAGTTGCTGTTGTTCTTTATGATTCATTGATCAACAATGAAAGAACAAACAAATCAAATGCTGAAACAAATCAAATGACAGACCAGTCTCCCAGAATGCAGTCTCCTAAAGACTAA